ATCCTAGAATGGGGAACTCTGGTGCCATGGAATTGACCCCTCTAAGAAGTGAAAGATACAGGGTGAATTCCTAGAAGATGAGAATTAGGTGTAGCCCCTCTGTTGATAGACACCAAATGGACTCCAGACTTGACACTCATGCAGGCACCACCCATGAGGGTGAATCCCCAAGGAAGGCTTCTTTGCAGAAAAAAAAAACAGCACACCGATGATTCAGACACATCTGGTTGTATAATGCTGTTTTTTTTAAGGTCATGTTTGTGAACTTTTAACCTAGTGTGCATATAGTAATACAATACAATTCATTGCAGCAAATCTTTTCCATGAATATATTTTGTAAGATGTGTATGGTCTCAAATATCTACGAACAGCTAACCGAATGTGAATATATTGCCAATAAAATTGAAATTGTAAATAGGTTAATTTCTTATTATGTGCTCAAGCATGTAACCATGGCAACCTCCCATTGAATACATTTCACAATCTGAATCCAATAACTATGTAAATTACTACATTGGTATCCAATAAATATGTAAATTTTGAGCTTTGACCGATGTAGGAGATCATAATCCTAACATGACATAGCGGTTATAACGTTTTGTCATTCAAAGTACGGTTTCAGTGCATACACCTAGATTACGACGCAAATGGCGAAATGCGTTCCTAAATCATTGATAATAATAATTTTTTCAATGCACAACAACAACTAAATTAGTGAAAACCATGTATGATAAATGAGGGTCGAAAGTTTATTTACTGTAAACAATACTGCTCGTAGAAATCAAAATATTCACCAAAAATAGAGAATTACACGGAACATGAAATAAAAAGAACTATGTAGTTTATCGGTAACCTAGCTTATATCAAATCCGTGAGGCTGGTGGTAAATAAATGAACGTTTGACGGAGGATCAGTCGATCAATTCAGCTGGCATTGTAGCTAAACATCCAGAATTTTGGTTTCAAGAATTATAACTCATTGTTGAAATTATATATGTAAAATAAATCTTTCTATGTGATTGATATTTGTCTAATCTGCAAATATATTCACGTTTGACTGAACTGTTACAAGGCAACACGAAATCACTATGCACATGCATGTCCGTAGCAGAGCTGTTTAAAGCGCGGTGGTCGTCGCGCTGCGCATGTGCGACATTTGTATTGATAAACATTGATTCTCCCACAATCCAATGCGTTCTTCAAATGAAAGTATGAGGTTTGACCTGGGCGCGATTTTCACTGAATACCGCCGGTAACTCTTTCGATACCTTCCAATCAATCACCTAAAAATTGTCTAATTAGAGCTTTGAAACGTCTCAGTTTGTACTCATTGATCTGCGCAACAGTCAAAGTCACCATCTTTGTTTATTTGAGACCCATATATCAGGCGCATGCGTGGCGAATTTTTAGTTCATGCAACAAACAATAAATACAGCATGTATTGGGTGAATTTCGACAGAACTATTCTTTTCAAATATCGAACTGGCAAAGTGTGATAAAGAATGCATTATTCTCACAATCTACGCGCCCCAAATGTACTTATATTGACTTCCGAGGAAGGGCTGTATTTAGCTCAATAATAGAGAGTTAATTCCCATGGTATATATTGTACATTCAAACCATTGTAAATATTATAGTCGTGAACTGTGTGGAAATGGTTATTATGCAAATTGTCATAGTGGTAATTGTACAAAACCTATCAGCTTTCCATCGCATAGTATTCGAATGGTAATACTAGTACATTCAAATACAGTATCTGCTTCTCTATCTTGGTCAGTGAAACAAGGTTTTCCATGGAGATGCAATTGTAATGCCATTCAAACACTAATTAGCTTATTAATATGCATCAGTTAATTTATATGGTAATTATATACTATGGAATGTGTTCATTTTACTCCAGTGCATTGGAACCATCTGGTATAAAATGTATTGAAACACAATTAATATGTAAATTAAGGTAATTATTTTACGTGGATTTGTACTGCAAGCATTGAATAGCAATTTACTGCCCAGTAATGGTTCTTTATATATCAGTAAATTCCTTTCCAGCAAAATATTTTTAGTTATTTAAAGCTTTGATACGGATCCCGTGGTCATATGAAAAGAAAATGTCACATCACAGAAAGTGTTTATGTAAATTGGACTACGCTCTGTCGTCACGGTAGTCACACAGTCCCGCTATGGAGTATAACTAAAGTATTTGGTCCAATAAACCAAAGACACTAGTGTCTTTGAATAAACTAAGATCGTCTTCTCTGAAAGGCGTAAGCCTAGGGTAGCCAATCAAAAACAATCTTTCACATCATTACCAACACGCATATTAAATAAGCAAGATCCCCTGATTGGTTTGCTAGCTTGATGTAAAGCGGGCAGTGCGAGTACCAGTTCGACCTATAATGTACTTCTTTAGATATCCCACCAGAGGGCGGTATGCTGTATGGGTCATTGTTCGTTTTAAAAAAAGTCGGCGTTCATCATACTGCAGTCCGACTGTGATCATACAAACTAATGTTTTGCATGACCTTTGACTCTGTAGGACTCTATTCAATCATGTCGTTGATATCGGGTTAAGTCACTGCTGTCAGACAATTTTGGGTAGTTTTACTTCAAACAGAGTTCTACACGTTAACAAACTTGCAATCTGGTGAAGAAAATTAAAATACATATAACCATGACATGTCCATTTTACAACACCAAAACGTATTGTGATTTATGATCCCTTCGACGAAAGTCAAATTTATTTTTTAAAGAGTAACGAAAATACCAGCGCACAAATTGCACATGCTAAATATTTATTTTATTCTTTTCGTATCAGAGAAACGTTGTTAGAGGAAGCAATTTTTATTGATATTTAACTGTATTGTATTTAATCTTTATTTAATCTTTACCATGTGTAACCTGTGACCACATATACTAATGATATATCTTTGAGTATACTTAGGGCCGGCGGCCTATGGTACTTTGGAAATAAACATTACAAAACAGTAACACCTCAATTTGTAGTTATATTTTAGAATGCTCTGTTTCATTTATTCGGCCGTCGACTCAGGCCATAGATTCTCGGCTCCAGTATTAATCGGTAGACGCGTATTCTTGTTGTAATGTTGCACAGTATGCAACCAGTAATTCCTCTTGAATAAATATGTGGTTTTTTTTCAAATTAAGTAAAATTAAGTTGGTGGACAACATCCGAGTTCGTCAAATTTTACGTTTTACTTCGCCATCATCCGCTCGCATGGGACGTATACGTTCACCCTTTTTATGTGATGGCAGTAAGTTGTAACATTATACCTCTTGAGATGTACCCCCCCCCCCCAACTGAGACAAACTTTTTCACCTTTTGAAAAGCAGCCATTGAATTATAGTTCAAAAAATGAACCCTCTAAACACTAGACAACATCAACAATTTATACAGTATTAGGGTGCGTTGCTTTATTAAATATGTAAAATAAGTAGCGCCACCAACGACGTAAATGATCACTCGATGAATTATAAAATAGTACTTTAATATAAATATAAGACTATCCAATAGAGAAAGTACATTACTGTTCACGTCACAAACAGCGCATCTTTTTTAATCACGTTATTTGCATTTTTGTTATCAAATAAGAGAACAAAATAATGAATTCGCCTAGTAACATTTCTAGTGTCACGTTTGTTATCTCTGACTACTGTCATGTGCGTTCACAGTGTAAAATCGGCCATATCCTCAGCATTGTTCCAATTATGCAATTGCAATGTGGTGCGGTGTGATATGTACAAGTATACGTATTACGTGGCCAATAGTACTTAAAGGGGAAGCCCAGGCTAACAGCGCAGTGCTCCCAGATAAAAAAACTCCACAGCAGAATGCAATTTTCTCTATCATTCTTCGCTCTATAAATATTTAAAGCGCGGTAGTCGTCGCGCTGCGCTTGTTCGACATTTGTGTTGATAAACATTGATTTTCCCACAGTCCAATGCGCTCTTCAAATGGAAATCACAAGTATGAGGTTTGACCTGGGCACGACTTGCACTGATTACCGTCGGTGACTCCTTCGATACCTTCCAATCACATGAAAATTACCTAATTAAAGCTTGGAAACGTGTCAGTTCGTACTCGTTGATCTGCGCAACAGTCAAAGTCGCCATCTTTGTTTATACAATGTATGAGACCCATATATCTCGCACATGCACAGCGCGACTACTACCGCGCTTTAACTATTTAATTAGTATACGTTGTCCATCATTTTAATTTTTCAACAAGAAATCAGTCGTGGATAAAATATAACATCGCAACCGTGACGTATGTTACAACAAATAAATAAAATTATTTTATCTTGAGAAATAATGATGCGAATTAGTTTAAATTTAAAATATGCATATTATTAGATTTTATAAGTATAATAATGAAAACTGTAATATAATTAGTTATTACCAAAAAGGTAAAATAAATTTTAAATATGTTGTTGTGGTCAGCAGGTTATATATAACCCGTATATGCTACTTTTATAAATTTTATAAAATATACGAAGAATTGAAAATGTAAAAATAATATTATCAGTCATGTTGCTATGACAACCAATTTTATTTGTAAGGTTCGTTGGTACCAGTGTGCTACCATGTTATCATTAACTCTCAACAAATTTGAAGTCCTACTTTTGAAGTTAAAGAGGAAATAATGTCCTCAATTGTTTCCAACAATTGCTAAGATGTCACACTTTATCTATAATCCTTTGTTTGAGAATCAATGTTGTATTGCAAGCCTAAACTTACACACAGTCCATCAACAGAGGGAGGGACTGTGACTTACACGACTTGCTAAGTGTGTTGCGTAGCGCCCTCTAGTGATAGAAACGCCGTTTAACCAAATCACAGAAACCGGCAAAACTCGTCAATGTGTTCAATTAATAAAGTATCATGTATCTTATGTTACAGCCGTCTGTTTTCATTAATATTACAGTTTATTACTATTAAAAAACTATGGTTTGAAAGTTCATAACTAGGAGTTATTCATTTATTTTCTGTTTCTTGTATTAATCTTAGACTATTTTAAAATTGAAATCAACAAAACAAATGTAGTAACAAGCAATTGCTCTCAACAATATCCGTTATTCTTTCTTTTCCCCTTATTCTCTGTTTCATTTTGTTTTTGTTGCCCAGAGTGTTCCCGTCGGCGTCATGCTACATGTGTTTAAATGTTCACTACTGTGAAATCGACAATGTACTCGTGTGAAATTACCCAACATTGATACACCTCGCCTATTTCCATATTCAAATCAATCAATATTTGCTTATAAGAAGTGAATAAGCAGAGAATATCGCGTAACTAGGGCAATCTTAGACGTCCATGTGCATGGAGCATTGCACGTCATGCCTGTGTTCACATAACTTTGTAAAACTATGCAACTTTCTCTACCCAGAATTCAATACGACCCACTTCCGGTGGTGTTGTATAAAACTTCCGGGATTTACAGTAATAACTCGTCTCCGCGCGTTCAGGTCTGCGTTCAAAAAAATCCATATGAAGAGAACACAAATGACAAGATGATTCGCCGGAAAGTGCGGTTTCTTGTTTTTCTTGCTGTAGTATGGTTTGGTGGCTTCGCTTTGTATATTTTTAATACCGTGAGTAAAGACTCTCCCGAGGTAAGACATTGATTGCTTTTGAGCTGCACCCAACTTGTCGGTTTTTTGTGAAACTTGGTGATTGTTTGCTGGTTTAAATGTGTATACATACTGTTTATTGACTGGTCGTCAACCACTACCCACTTAGGTAATGTAGCAATTCTGCTATCAAGATTAGTGCTTATAAATCACATACGCTTATGGACAGCGCTCAGTCCACTCTCTGCTCTCTCTGCTCTCTCTCTCTCTCTCTCTCTTACTATGGTTCTTTCCTTGGGATCAGCGGAAGAAAAGTCAGAAACTCGTATATGTTATCGCATATAATTTTCAATATCACTTTGAATGCAAATTTTGACATTGTGTATTATGTTTTACATGCTAGTTGTTCTTGTACATTTTGTGTTGAATCATTTTGTCAGCAACAACGAGTGTTTTTTTTTTTTTATGTACTGCAATGTTTAAATCACTCATCCTTGGAAGTGCACAAGCTGTTTACCCAGAGTGAATTCCACGTTGTCAAACCGTATGTTTACTCTGGTCATGCCCAGACTCTGTGGGTGGGAGGCTGTGCTTATTTTGATTTTGTGGTTTGTTATTCAGTGCTTCAATCTTCAAACCAATTATTCTTCAATATTTATTTAGTTTTCACAATAAAAAAATTGTGTATTTTTTTTTTATAAATATATTAATGTTTAGAATTTAAGAAAACAGATATATAGACACTCCAATAACCAATATAGATGGTCAGTGTACTACTTTACTTGTGGGATTGAAAACCTATCCATTTTGTGGTAATTATGAATTTCGTATTACTGATTGTATGCATAATTTATAATGATTATTTGAACATTGGTCAAGATTCCCTTGAAAATCTAATTAGATGCGAGGCTAGAGAAGAAAAAGTAAAAGTCTCCTGTGAATAAACTCTTGTCAATCACTCTTATGCAATGGCAAACAAACTAGTTTTTATTATCTGTTTATAAGCAGTATTTTCTGATACACTAACAGACAGTTAGCACCTTGACTTCTATTAGCCACACCTCCATAATTCTGCCCATTCTCTAAGACAAGCCTACATCACAAACTGGTCAAAATCCCCCAAACATTGCCAGCAACCAATCACAGACTAGCTTAAACAATAGCTTTCCCTGACGATATTTCCCCCACGCTAACTTGAAAAATCTTTTGTTTTTGTCTCGTTTCCGTTTCCGGTCTGTCTTAGAGAATAGGGCTTTCTTTAGGGATGGCTTCAAGGAATATAGTGTGTCTGTTGTTTGATCTGTCATGAAGAATGACAATTAATTTTCTTACCTCAATCAACTGACAGTGATAACTTAGCACTTGACTATGGAATCTTTATTTATTTAAAGGGGAGTATTAGACAGGAACATGGCCTCAACCCATAAAATAATTACTAGTACTAGTAGTTAACTTTTAATGTCACATTTTAATATTTATGTTAATAAGAGAATACCAGGTTATGTTTAAACAAATCTATTAGCAAACTACTAATTGAATTAATTACAAGAAAAAAAATAATGTTTGTACCATCTGTTTTTGTGATTAATCTGACAGGAAACCTGTAGAGACCATGTATGGTTTATAATGGACCCTAAACAACGATTCTTTGTTTACACGCAACAGACCGGTCCTATAAGTCGTGCCTTTTAGCAAAATGTGGTCGTCCATTAATACTTTAGATTTGCTATTTTGTAAATTAGGAATGACTACACAACCAAACAAAATAGTCTCTTCAATTACTTTGCTTACACTCATTTACTGCTATGATAGAAGCATTTCATTGCTGAAGGACTTACAGGAATGATGTATACTGATGTGTTTTCTGCTATCACAAATAAGTAATATGGTATATTTATATATTTGTTCAGTTTTGAAGTAAAAGTTCTCAGGTATGCAAAATTAACAGTAACCAAAAGTACATATAGTCTACGAATTCTTGTCTCTGGTTTACCATTGGACTACTAGAAATTAAACATGTACCAGTTTGCTTTCAAAACTGTGTAATGTATGACAGTGTGTGCTATACAGACCAGGCTTTTACCTGTATTTATTTGTATCTGACTACAGTGCTAATAACAGTTTAATTACAAATGTATGTTGAATATTTTTTAAATTTCTTGCCCTAAAGCTTCAAACTTGACGCAATTGCTGAGGATAAACCAATTCAGCCACAAACAGTTCCCAATTCTCAAGTGGCAATAACCTTGGAAGAAAAACAAACCCTTAGGGTCTATATTCTAACCATGGAGCTCCATGATTTTAACCAAAGTCAGTGCATGGTCAGACCACAGTCCCTATATCGTCAAACTAATCTCTTAGTCAAATTACATCAAGGAATTCTCATCTCCATTATACTGATTAATATTTCATGTGAACTGTTTAAGTCTAAACCACAAAGCTACATTTGTACTACATGATTTAAAAAAAAAAATATTCACTACTTAGCTCATAAATTATATAAAAATTCTGAACGCACGTTTTTACAAAGTCCTTTTATTTTGAAAAGCACCTCGCATATTCTCACCTGTACCTAAGTGTCTTGGTTGCCACTCCTGATATATAATAGTGTTTTGAGTATGAAATGCTAATGTAGTGAGAGATTAGCTACAGTGCATGCAGGATACAGGACATGCATGTCTGGTACTTATCATTGTATTTCCTACTTGTACTATGTCTGGTACTTATCATTGTTTTTCAAATCTATTGTCCATAATATACTAGTTCAATCATAGACCCTAAAAACAGGTTTTTAGGCTCTGTGATACAAGGAGACAAATTTCTTTGAGAAAAAGCAAAGTGACATTTTTACTGTTCATACTACTAGCATAATCCTCAGAATGTTGATGACCTTAACTGTTTGAAACCATTGACCTTAGATGTTGAAACCTAACACTATTGAATTCCAATGTTTGTTTGACCAGTAGTGTATCTGCACTCTCCAAGTTTACATTTTACATTTAATTTTGATTCATAGAAAATAAAATAATGCTGTCTATATGCAAAATAATACTAGAATATTTTTCTTACATATTATACAGTAATATTTTAAATACATTGAAATTAAATTTGTTGATTGTGTAACACTTTAACATAATGTTAACTAATGTGTATTCACTAGTATATTATACCAATATATTGATGGTGGTAATCCATCGATTTGATTGGTCGGAACACAAAATTTGCATATGCAATCCATTGTATATTGGCTGATAATGCACGGCTAAACCAAGTGGCCCTGGAACATGAATTGACTACAGGTTTAATACAGAAATACATAAAACCGGTATTATTTGATTTTTAGGGAAATATAGTGGTTGAATTTTGGAAGAATATTGAAATAAACACTGAATTAAAAACAGCTACAAAGTTATATGACTATAATATTGCTTTTTGTTAATGGTGGGATCCAAGTTGTGAGCATCGGTCGTTGGGTGATTGTCGTTCGCCACACAAACCTAAACCACCGCCCCTCAACACCGTGAGGTGCCTACACGAACGCCAGAACGCTATGTTCTCAGTGTTGTTACTTTGAGATGGATTGCGAACTTCCAACAAAGAAAACATGACAAGATATAATTGAGGGATTTAATGATATAATATAATAGCAATAACCCCCGCCGAAGTTGGGTATACTACTTGATATTGCACAATTCACTCCATATATGCACTCGCCTGCGGCTCGTGCATATATGTCGTGAATTGTGCAATATCTCGTGGTATACCCGCCTTCGGCGGGGGTTATTGCTTAAGTATATTATTATGATGTATCTGTGTATGTTATATTTATTGTAAGGCTTTTCCTTCCAATATTCATGTCTCATTCATTTTGTGGGTCAGTTAAAAATGTTGTTTTGGTTTTTTGTAATTTAGAGTAAGACAAATATTTTTAATTTTCATGAAACATAAAAATAAATGCACAATGTTTATGACATTTTTTTTAAATCTTAGAAAATAAATCAAGCAGAATGTTTTTCTATGTTTTTATAAGTCTTAGCTTATAACTTATAATTTCTATAACATATCCATTGTGTTCATATTTCTATAACACATCCATTGTGTTCATATTTCACATATGCAGTCATGATTGTAATACATGTTGAGAAATTGAAAACTCATATTGTTGTCATAGCTTCAAATCATAACCATGGAGTCCCACTGTTGAAAAATACACAAAGTCAGTGTTTGGGAAATTGTGGTATTTTCAAATATAACCTTGTATATGCATCAGTGATTCAGATGCCAACTGGACATCAGAAATTTGCTAATATAAGAACAACCTAATTTTTATCAATCATTTCCAACAAAGAGCCTAAGTATTGTCTGTTTCATCCCAAATAAGGTACCGGTGAATAATTAAACATGTTCCATGATGCTAGTACTATCCATTTTGAGACCAGTGAATCACTGTGCATGCAGTGTAGGGCAAGGGAAGGATTAATCTGTTGTACAGGTGTCTATATTTAGAAAGAGTACCAGTACTGGTAATCAAGACTAGTTGTCTTTTTATAGACCTCTCTTTCTAAACATGTACAATGTATGTAACTTTATTGAGAACACACTCCAGAACAAATTAAAATGTTTACAAAACAGAAAAATATCATGAGGATATCTGATTGCCCAACACACCATTTGTCATATGCCCCATCTGTTTATTGGAAAATATCGGCAAGATGAATAAAGGAACAA